GGCTTTTCACTGTGACAGAGCGACAATAGTTGGCCAGTTAAATACATCCCAAACTTTTGTTTAAAACGAACTTTGGTTTCGACAGAATGATCAAAATAGCCTTCTTGTGGGTTTTTTTTCTGACTCAATGCAACTTCTTTTACGAGGACTTTATTTTAGCGGAACGCTGTTATCAGTGATCTGATTTTCTGTTTCAATCCAGGCGTTTTTTTATAAAACTTGAAGTCTGCAGGTGTTTCCAACATGAGATGACAAGTCGAAGCTTATATTTTGAGCCGTATGAAATGCTATGACAACGAGGAAAGTATGTTGATCTAGTTCTATTCTCATTCCATATTCATACATGTTTGTGCCTAACAGCGATAGTCTGATCATCACAGAATAAATAATAAATATAATGCGTCCGGATAGAATGTTTTTTTATTGGTATTATATTATTTGGAAAGGGTAAAGGAAGAGAGTAAAAAAAAAAAAAACTAGTTTGATGCAGATAATTGATCAATGGCACGAAGTCTTCGCATGATACGGTCCATTTCCTCTTTGACGACGACCATACTTTCTTCATGAGAGAGGGTAGATGCCTCAGATTGCTCTAATTTGTTTCTGAGTTGATCGACCTCTTGATATACCTTTTTGACAGCTTCCATCTGTTTCTGTTCTAATGCGCGATGTTCTCTTTCCAAAGTTTGAATATCTGTGCCAGGATGCAACTCAGCTTCCATTTTTTGTTGAACTTCTTGCTGAAGTTGTAAGGCTTGAGCAGAAGCCTTTTCGAGCTCTGTATAGGCCTTCTCAATTTCCAACTTGATATTCTCTTTATTAGCCTTATGTGTTTCCTGCATGGTTTTAATGGTTGCTTTCACAGCAATGGATTCTTCTTTTGAGGATTTTTCGAGTTCAGCTTGCTCTGCTTTAGCTTGGTTTAGCTGGTCGTCCAACTCTTTGAGATGACCCATGCCTTGCCTTGCGGTCTCAATCTCGTCCATGTATTTTTTTACCTGACCTTCAAAGAAAAAAGCGGTAGCCTTGGAGTTTTCAGCTTGTCTGTCTTTGCGGTTACTCATGTCTGTCAATGTTTGAATCTCGGTCTTTAATTTACGGTTTGTTCTACCGCTTTCTTGAGCGTAGACTTCAGCTTGTTTGGCTTGCTGCTTTGTTTGGTCTAATTCTAGCTTGAGTTGGCTTAATTCTCGTTCAGCTTGGCTGATTTTTTGCTGTAATTCACCGATATCGGCGCCTGTAGTTGGGCGACCTAATCTAAGGGAACCTCCATCTAATTTACCAAAGAGTTGGTTTCTTCTTTTATTTTACACGAAAAAAAAACCAGTAAGCCGTTACTTACTTTCGTTGTTGGTGTTTTCTTCTGAAGCCATGATGCTACACTTTCTTATTTTGCTAAAAAAAATAAAAAGGAAAAAAGAGGGAAAGGGGCAATACGGGGAGTTTAAAACGGTTTTAAAAACAGGAGCTTTGCAGCTAGAGCATTTACATTTGCTTATATTTTTGGAACAAAAAACTCTGATCCTTATCAATTTCTTGATCTGCCGTAAAAAAAATAAGCTATTTGAAATTTCTAATGTGTAGATATGTGTGCTCCACAAGAAAAAGACTCCTGAATGGAAATAAAAAAAACAATTGGTGTTACACCTGTCATTAATACAACTCGTGGCAGTAAAGAAAACTCATTTTAGTGGGCCAACATTACAGTCATACTCTTTCAATTAATATAGGAGAACCCCCGTTCTGCTATAGTTTTACTGCATATCAACAACCCCTCCCCATACGTGAATAGGTCATTAAAAGGATAGGCACTGATTTTTAGGCACAATTCATTTGCTGAATTTCAATCAACGGTGGCTTAGAATAACTGTTCTTTTTTTCATGTTTTAACAAAAAAATAAATAAAAAATATCAAGGCCCTTGCTTGTATCAACTTATATAACACAAATGAGCAAAAGACCCGAACTCGTCCCTCTCAACTTAAAGATTGAATCCAGCAAAGAAACCAGCATTTCAAATGCTACTTCATTTCTTGATAAATTCTTGCATGAAGGTGTCGCCATTCATGCTGCTAACAACACTGTCGCCGCTCAACTTCATCAATTACACCAAGGTTTGAAAGAGGAAAAGAAGAGAGCTCGTGGACACACTGCTGTCGAAACAAAAGAATTTTAATTTGTTCAATATTTCGTGCAAAACACACACATACACACACACAAACACACACGCTCAACTTCTCATTAGAACTCCATGCAGGAAGAAGAAAAAATCACCCTCTTGTCATATACTATCATTTTCATTTTATTTTTATTTTTGCTAAATATCCCCATAACCTTGTTTTAATAAAAGAAAACAGTAAAAAAAGTACGATGGAGTCGACGGAAGCTAGTTACGATGAAGGGTCTGATACACACCAGAGCATGATTTTACTTGTGTCGTTTTTTCTGTGCCTTTCTTTTGGCTTTAAGACGACGAACACGCTACATTTACATACGTTAGCTATATCCTGCTCTTCGATTGTATTAAGAAGTCCAAACCTTTTTCTTCCATTTTGCTCTCACTATTTTTTTAAAGAAATAAAGGTTTAATTAATGCAGCGAAACTACCGTACTACTTACTTGTAATTGCTTTGTAGGTGAGAAGAATAGAGAGAGAAAGAAAAAAAAAGACGAAAAGATAGATTGAGCGTTGCATAATTTATATACACATGTTGTATTTGATGTCATGTTTTAATCATGTTTTTGTAACAAAAAGCTGATATAATATTTTTATTTTTCACACAGATAGAGCTCTGGGTCTATTCCTGATTGCATTAGGTTGTAAATTATCCGTGGCATCTTGGTTCCAGATGCTACTCTTTTCATTCACAGCAACGCTGGAAGACACTCTACAAGAAGAAGAGGAAAAGGGAAGTTCCAGGAGCGAAGAAGAAGTTAAATTTGTCATGGGTGCAACCATATCCAATAGATAGACACCGGAAAATATAATCATGAAGCCACAGATTAAACTAATCGTATTTGCGTAACTAGATGTATGCCACCCTTGGAACATAATGGCAGACGCTATAATAGTTGCTGTTGTAAAACATACATAGTATATAGGGTTGACACTGTTAAAAAAAAATAAGTTTTCGGATCCAGCATAGTTTTGGAATAACAATCTTACACATTGGTTGAAAACAAAGCTAGAGCCTTATTAAAATAATTCACCTGAGTAAGAATAAATAATACACACATACATCCAAAGACATAAGTCGACACTTGATTAAACTGATTGTTCCCGGCTATAGTTAATCTGACAGCGATACCAAATGCTTTAATGGTCATTACTGACAGAGAGCCTACCAGTGAGCATATAGACAGATAAACAATAGGTGACGTCTTTCCCCATTTAGGAACCACTTTCCAAATCATCCCGATAACTATTAGTATGATTATTATCCCATATGTCAAAAAACCTGATTGATTCCATTAAAGTCAGCATTTCGGAGAGTTAACAATCGGTCATAATTACTGACCTGGTTTTAACATGTATGCAACCAATTCTTGTACGCTTTGGACATCCGGGTCTTCAGGTGCATGAAAAATGATAATCACTGCACCAATTACAGATAATAAACATCCAATGATACCTATCGGCCCCATTTTTTCGTTTAAAAACACAGATCCTAATATGGCACTATTGAATAGAAAGAGAACAATTAAAAAAACGTGAGTTACGTTTACGATGAACGAAGATTTACCCTATGATTACACTTAATGCACCCAAAGGAGTGATTAATATAGCGGGTGCAAATGTATATCCTAATCTTGATTTTACATGATTTTAAATTATCTGGTCTAGTAGAATTAAATTACACGAGAAGTAATGGCTTACCTATAAAGTTCATTATTTCCCCCGACACCATCACTATTAATCCTATCCACCAGACAGGATTTTTTAGATATCTATGTGAGTCTGTAGCATAACCTAAAAAATAAATTAGCAGTGATATAAAAAACCCACAACGACAAAACAAGCTCACCATTTTTCGCAGAGGATATTAATAGACCCTTCTTTGTGATTACGAAAGATATGCCTATTAAGAAGCTAGAGCACACAGCGAGAATTAATCCTATATATTTTCCTTCAAGAACCATTTAGAAGTAAGAAGAGAAACAAAGAATGTGGAATTTCATCTAAAAGTTAATATGAGAGGGGTGTTAAGGGGGCGCTAAATCGCATCTTATTGTGGCGATGCCCAGCTTACGCATATAGTATTAATTGGTGGATTTTGAAAAGTCACGAATTCTATCTGGAGGATTTACGAAACCCAAACAGCAGCCATTACTTATTTCTTCTCTTTTTAGCACTATCTTATCAATGAAAATGTAACTAGGTCAGTTAATAACTACTTATAACTTAACATGAAAATGCTATAAAATTACGGAATCATAAAAACACGCGTTTCTGCAAAGGAGAAGGTGCGTTCTGATTTTCGCGGCATTTAGACGGTATGGCGGCTACGGTTACGCAGTTATACTGTGTGATCTTCAAGCACAGTTTTTTTTAGCTTGAATTTTCGCGGTAGTTTGTCTTTGGTCAGTCCCAGAATCTCACTTACAGCGACCAGAAACAAATACCTTAACCATGTATAATTATCATCGCTTTAAGCTCCTAAACCAACGAAATAGGGACAAAAGTCACATTTCATTAATTGTATTGAATGCTTCAAGGTGTGTTCATTGAGCTTAAATGTTTCATACTCTTGACCACACCTAACCTTATGCTAAACAGTGCCAGAGTTGCTCAATAGGATTCAAGTTCATATGCATTTGTAACCATTATTTTTAATCTCTACCATATTTTTTACTTTGCTCGTTGAATTTATAAAAACATCATCTATGATAGAATGTCAGCCTTTTATGGCATGATATTTATCCATAATATAATAAATAATTAAGGTAGTGACCGGCTGTGTAGTTATGCAATGGCGCCTTTTTGCAACCTCCAATAGAAAATAACTCACGCGTAATTCGATAATGGAATTTATACTATAGCATTTCGCCTATGTTGTTCTTTCATGTGTTTTCATAATATGTAGCTTATCTAGTGCTTTCCAAACATTTCGATATCCAGAGGTTTGTTTTCATGTACTATTCGAAGTTTGTCAGTTGCTTAAAATGTAGAGATCGTCTCCAACCGTTGAAAGTCATAGTTTTAGCTTCGTCGTCAGTAGTTACCTTACTAAATAATTCCACGTAACAAAATGTTGAACTCTTTGTGGGTAATGAAAAGTTTGAACAGGCAAATATTGATTTACACATCTTACGAATGCTTCCCCTTTTGGAAAGCACAATCGGACTTTTATGCAATTTTTTTTTTGATTTCTAATCATTGTAACCGAATCCACTGGCGATTACAAAATAAACCTAGTTGTTTAAAATAAACTTGATTAAAAAAAAAAAAAAAAAAGAGAGAGAGGATAAAAGCCGGATTCATGTTAAAAATTACTCGATTCTCCGATGATACCGTACCTAGAGTTGGCTTTCTTCTTACATTGTTCAAAAGTGTGACGGCTCATCTTTCTGACAAATCTGTTGAAAAAAAAAAAACTTTATATAAAAACGGAGATCTCTTTTTTGAAAAAATGTCTTTATATTTATTTAGTTTTTCTTTCCTATATGCCTTCACAACACTCCCCTAAAACACTTTCTGTACCTGAGTTTAAGCAATTGGTACTTTACACTGGTAATGTTATGCGTACAACTACTACTGTTGGTAACAGCTTCTGGAACAAAAAGTCCAACGCAGAGGTAAATAATAATGATGGTATGATAATGATATCACAGTGATTAAAAAATATAAACCATTCCAGTTAGTACAAGCCATTGCTGATACCCTTGACACATCATTACTTAACCTTGAGAAGCCATCTTTCCGTTATTACACAGAAACCGAGCTTTTAGAAGTGCCTGACTTGAGATTGAGTAGTCGTATTCATCCCAATGATCGTGATAATGTCGAAGTTACAGGTAGAATGGTTACTGACAGAGTGACTATCCCATATCTAACATTGCATTTTCCCTAGCCAAATTATTTTGTTTGGATCGTTGTAACGGATCGCTTATTGAGAAGGCTATTGGACATCTTTTACAACTTTTGGACGTAAAGTCTATCGACACATTCATTACTTCATTTGATCCAGAGGAAAGACCAGAAGTTATTGATAAAGCATGGAAGGATTTAGAAGCTTATCATGGAAAGGGAATTGTTCAAAAATTGGGAGTGTCCGATTTTGATTTGTCATCCATGACCGAGTTTTTGAACAAGAAAGATCTTGTGGTAAAGCCATCTGTTGATCAAGTCCATGTTGATCAATGTTGCTCCTTACCTCAAGATTTGATCAAACTCGGTAAACAACATGGGATTGAAATTACTTTCAATGGAGATACAACAGGTACGGAGATCAAAGTGGGCTTTAAATTTAATTTATCCTCATTGTTACTCTTTACAATAGAAATCTTGACAACCGAAGCGTTATCTACTTTATTGAACAAGCACGGTCTTGTTAAAGACACCACAAATGTTAAACCCCGTTGGGTATTAAAGTACGATGTATTCTTCAAAAGCAGAAGTGTGGTAGCCGACAAAGGGTAAGTCCGCGCTGAACACTAATTCGGTCTTTCACTAATTTCTTTTTTTCTACCCAGTTACATCGTCGTTGGCGATGTAGTCAACTAAAGATTTAAATATTCCCTCTTTCGTTTCTAGACCATATACTTGCATGATTTTAATACTAATAAAAAAAATACTGTTGTCTTTTTTACTAGCAACCCGTATATGCATCAGTATATGTGTATATGCTCCTCGTTTATTTTTCCTTTTTGGGTTACATAATCTTATTTGTTTGTTACGTGAGGCGTTATGGTGGACCATGCACAGCCCTTTTTTTTTCAACTAGTTGCACAAATCGTTGTCTTATCTGTCGCGAGCTTTATTAACAGTAGGTCTGCACAAGCCACCCTAACTATTGTGAGTTTGCGCAACGACAACATTGCTGATTGAGTTCAAAATAAGTCTAGAAGCCGCACCTTTTCTCTTTACAGTAAATGCTTACCAGTTTTAAGAGTATTTTAATTGTTGATCAAAGAAAAAAAAAGAGTACAATGTAAACGTATACATTAGCATTATTGTCGTGTTGAGACCAGCCAGACTACATGATTGTTGCGATAAATACTAAAATATTTGTCTGAGCCAGAGTAAACAAGCCATGGATGAATCACACTCTACTTTATAAGTGAGCCTGTCATTGCTTTGTAATATCCTTGAAAATTCGTTTTTTTATCTTTCAAAAGATCCACGTTGACTGTGCACTAGACGGTTAGTTGCTAAACGGGTGTAGGTTGAAGTCGGCGTCTTCTATGAGTCTTTTATTATGTGCATCAAACATAAAGCACCAAAGGAGCATAATAAAATACGTTATGCTCGTAGAAATTGTCAGCTTAAGCCTTCTTTTTTTTTTTCTGGCAGTTGATGCCAATTCTACGAAATACTAGATCAGGCAGGCTTTTCGGCTATATTTTATCACAATAATATTTAATCAAAAACTCATATGATCGTGGCTATTTATAGTAACGCTTTATACTTGTGTTTTTTAAACTTAAACGAATATCAAATATTATTGAGTACGGTTTTTTTTATCATCTCACTTCTTACGCGTACATAGTTCTTTTTTCTTCAAAGTATGTCTATACAAAAAATTCGAAAATATTCTATTAAGATTTTGTGATAGAAAATAAAAATAATGCTGTCATATGCAGTTCTACTTGTAAAATTTGGAAACATTAGTTTGACATTTGTATATTAACTGAGATCATATATGAAGACCGTAACCACCAAACTGGCTTTTTTACAAAAAGAAGTTGGTAATTTGAATAGTGACAATTATAAGCAGCACAAGAGAAATCACAAATGCGTTTTTGTGTATACCCTCTTTAAGAGTAACTTTATACGGTTATTAGTTTAATGGTTCTTATAAAACCATGCTGAGCTAAATAAGATGACGAAATCAAACGCAAAAACAAAACAGAACACATCAGGGCGGATGAAAAACAGCAGTTATTATATGCTCTAGTTGTTATTAAGCCACTTATAGAGTCCTTAGCTAGAAAGATTTTCCGAGTAATCAATACGGCAAAATATTTTGGAGATAAAGTAATTTTTTAGATCATTTATTCTCGAAATGATCAAAATAGCATGCGAACATATCCGAAACAACATTCTATACCTACGGGTATTAGTGAACTTTTGTATCATTCCCAACTCAGATGATGCTATGGATAAAAACATATTCTCACAAAAGTTTGCTATGGTTTGCTACAACTAGATTTGAGAACTCATCCCAAAAATATCATCCGCACAACTGGTGCTAGAGCTCTAGCGACATTCATAAAAGATATGATATAACGCATGAATGAACCCCAAGTACATGTATAGAGCCGTTACATAACTCCTGAATTTACTACTATGTAAGCATTCATGGAGGTACGACTACTTGGCCAAAAGAGCCCCCGAAAACTAACAATGAATAAAAGCTAAATATTACAGACATTCGCAACAGTATGACATATATACACATGTCAATTTTAGGTATGACGATAGTGTTATCAGAGTCTCCAAGGGAATATATGCTTAGTTTAGATCGTATCATATCTAAGAGAAACGAAAAAGAGCATCTGCAAGAATGACCAACAGGCCAAGATAAAGCCTTTCCTCAGTTATTCGTGCTAGCATCTTCGCCAAAGCTAAAGCATGTCTTTTCTTTCTAAATCAAAGAGGCAGACGGCATTTCTATTTGTAGCATAACCCCAATCAATAACATTATTTTGCTGCAATTTATGACAATTTTCTACAATCATAAAACTAACTTAGAAATTGCTTCTATAGGTGTGCCATTATCACGATTATATATGCTTCATTAAGACCACTGTCGGATTCCATGGCGGTTTCATCTTCCAAGCTTCCAGGAGGCAGTGACAGCAAAGCGGTAACAATTTTAAGAAAACCCTCAATCAATAGATACGCCCCAACAATTTTAGCAATATAGAGGCCAATACTATTTCTATATATCACTGTATTCAACATAATTTATCATTTTTCATTCATTAAAAGCAAATATTTTAAATCAATTTTAATTCATCCAAAAGGAAACTAGCATCGTCGGATATAGTGTTAAAAATTGTACTATGTACTTTCAACATGACATGGTATTAATAACGTATACTTACTTGATACAGGATCAAGCGATCGTATTTATTAATTGTTTATTTATAAAAAGTGCTATGTCTTCTAGATATCTCTCTATAGACACACGGACACTACATTATGATTTCGTAATCAATGCCCCATCTTCGTAAATGATGTAATAAATTGAGTCCCTGGGTTTCAAAAAACGGCATATTTAACCCAATAATTTTTACATTATTCTTTGTCCATACAAACATATTAAACCATGTCTACACAACTTGGACTTTCTTCGCGTATCTTACGCAAAGGGGTTCGCAATTACACTGCTAAAGGTACGAAAGTTAAATAGTCAGTACGTTTGTTTCTAACAAGGTTTTTCTTTAAATAGCTATTTTGGCCCCCGGTCAGAAGTTGCAAGGCTATAAAGTTCAACAGGCATAGTAGACAATAAACTAAGTGCAGAATTCACAGCATGTTAACTCGAATTTTCTAGGTTCGTAAAGTACCAGAACTTGAATTGACAGCCATTACTTTACAGCATGAAGCAACTGGAGCTCAGCATTTACATATCGATAGAGAGGATGCTAACAATGTATTCGCCGTCGGATTCCATACACCTGTCAGCAATGATACTGGTGTCCCTCACATTCTGGTATGTTAGTTATTTCTAGTGACGATTAGATTCTCATGACGTGATTTAGGAACATACAACTTTATGTGGAAGTGAAAAATATCCAGTCAGAGATCCTTTTTTCAAAATGTTAAATCGTAGTTTAGCTACGTTTATGAATGCATTTACTGGTAATGAGAGGGAAGAGGTATATAGGGAAATTATTTTGCAAGTTATTGATCATGTTATATTACATAGCAAGCGATTACACTATCTATCCGTTTGCCACCACCAATCCTGTCGATTATTCCAACCTTAGGGATGTATATATGGATGCTGCATTTCACCCAAAATTAGAGAAGCTTGATTTTAAGCAGGAGGGATGGCGTTTAGAACATGAAGTACCTACTGGTAAAACGAAAGAAAAACGGATGCATGGATGAGATGGGGGAGCTGACTTTATATTTCCAGATGTCAATACACCCATTCAATTTAAAGGCGTTGTATATAATGAAATGAAGGGACAAACTGTAAGTGGATGATATATTGAAAAGGAGAGAAGGAAGACTGATTATTTTGTAGTCTGATGCAAACTATTTGTATTATTGTCGTATGCAACAAGCCATGTTCCCAGGTACAACTTACGAAAATGTTAGTGGTGGAGATCCAAAATTCATTACGGATTTGACACATCAACAATTACTTGACTTTCACAAGAAACATTATCACCCTAGCAACGCCCGCTTCTATACATACGGTAAAAAAAAAGAGAGGGGAATAGGATAAATGGTGTAAGCACAAGCTGATAGAATAATAGGTAACTTTCCTTTGGAGGAGCACTTGGCTGCTATTGGAGAACGTCTCAAGGGATATCAAAAATCTGAAGTGCCATTTGTCAACAAAGTTGCTATTCCTTGGACTGGACCCAAGCATGTGGAGACAACATGTGCACTGGATCCTAGTAAGTGTAGTAAAAAGGGTGAATAGCGGGATTTTTTGTTTTCTAAACGTTTAAATAGTGAGCCCTGCTGACAGACAAACAAAGCTTTCATTATCATACCTTACAAATGAATCCACTGTAAGTTATCTATATTTCTGTCTTAGTTAGGCACATGTTGTAATACTTTTATTTTTGTTCTAGGATACCTTTGAAACATTCTCAATGCGTTTGTTATCATATCTTTTATTGGATGGACATGCCTCTCCCATGTATAAGGCTTTGATCGATACCAACCTTGGATCTGAATTCTCTTCTAACACAGGCTATGACAATAGCACTTGGTATGTGTCAAAAAATGGGTGGATGATCCCAGAACAAATTTTAACAAATTCCGTGTGAATTTAGTACAAGCTCCATGTCTATTGGTTTGCAAGGTGTCAAGGATTCTGATGTTGAAAAGGTCCAAAGTACAATCAAATCAGTCATTGAAAAGGTAAAGCAAGAAGGATTTGATCCTAAGAGAATTGAGGCTGCCATTCACCAAATGGAACTCGGTCAAAAACACAAGACTGCTGACTTTGGTCTCACCATCATGCATGGTGTCACGTCAGGCTGGTTTAATGGTGTTGATCCAGTTGACCTTTTAGAGATAAACAAGGTAGAAAATGTTTAGATGTGGTAATGAAAGCATGATTTACCAACATATTTGCATTGTATAGAACCTTGATCGTCTCAAGTCCGAGCTGGCCAATGGCAACTTCTTTGAAAGTCGTATTGATAAATATCTGTTGGACAACCCTCATACTTTATCATTTATTATGAGACCTGATGAAAAATACACTGCTGATTTGATTACAGAAGAACAGAGCAGATTATCTGAAAAGGTTAAGGCTTTATCCGAGCAAGATAAAGTTGAGATTGCCCAAGATGGTAAAGACTTGTTGGCATCACAGGATAGACAAGAAGATTTGTCATGTCTTCCTTCTCTTCAGTTGAGTGACATTGCGCTTAAAGCCAAACATACTGTTTTGGAACACACTGGTCTTTGTAACACGCCTGTTCAATGGAGAACTACTGCCACCAATGGTATTACTTACTTTAGAGCTATCAGCACCTTACCTACGCTCCCTGATGATCTGAAGATGTATTTGCCTTTATTCTGTGATTCTTTGTTATCCCTGGGTACCCGTCAACAGTCCATGGCCGAAATCGACGATGAAATCCGTCTCTATACGGGGGGTCTTCGTGCCTCCACCACTTTGAGTACAAACCATTCCGACATTGACCATATTGAAGAAGGCATTGCTCTTGTTGGTAACTGTTTGGATCGCAATATCGATAAGATGTATACAATTTTAGCCAAGTTGATTCACGAGACCAACTTTGATGATGTCGAGAAATTAAAGACCTTGATTAATGGTGTAAGTAGATTTTTCACATGCCAAAACCACAAAAGGGGTCCCACGTTTATATATATTTTACAATAGAACGCTTCATCCATGGTGAATTCGATTGCAGATTCTGGTCATATTTTCGCACGCACTTTTGCAGGATCCAGTTTAACACCTGGTATGCATAATGCAGAATTGATGGGAGGTATGACACAGGTAAACTTCATGAGCCGTTTGGCTGCCCAGCAAGATATCTCCAATGTGGTTGAAAAATTGAAACAAATTGCTTCAGCTGTTTTGACTCAATCCTCCCTCCGAATTGCTATTACTTCCGGTGAAGACGCTGTTGAAAGTAACACAAAGGCATTAGTCAAGTTTATTGAAGGTTTGCCGACGGAGGGTAAAACTATCTCCACTGGTTCCGTAAGTTTGGGTCTCCTTCCCTCCCTCCTCTTAATGCGCATGAAATTAAAATCACACACATTTTTTTTAGAACTCATTTGCACCTGAATACAAGAAATCTTTCTTCCCCTTACCTTTTCAGGTAAACTTCTCGGCTCAAGTCATTCGTGGTGTTCCTTACACTCATGCCGATGGTGCCAGTCTTCAAGTCTTGTCATCCTTAATGACTAATCATTATCTTCATCGTGAAATCCGAGAAAAGAACGGTGCATATGGTGGAGGTGCTCGCTATGCTGGATTAAACGGTTTATTTTCATTCTATTCTTATAGAGATCCTCGTACATTGGAGACTTTAGACACATATAGCCAATCCGTGGACTGGGTTCAAAAGCGTAGTTTCACTGATCAAGAAATCACAGAATCCAAATTATCTATTTTCCAAGGTGTGGACTCACCTCAAAGTGTATCCGAAGAAGGCATGCTTCAGTTTGTAAATGGTGTATCCGATGAAATGAGACAATTGTAAGCTTTTTTTTTTTTTTTTTTTTTTTTTTCAGGAATGATTAGATGATTGATTGTTATTTGATTAGGCGACGTGGAGCACTTTTGAAAGTGACTCAAGATGACATCAAAAGAGTTGCCCAACAATATCTTGAGCAACCCGTAAAAGAGGGTAAATATTCTACTGCTTTATTAGGTGAGGCGACTGATCGCATTGCTGCTGAGAATGGATGGCATATCAATCAATGGGGAGAAGCTGTTAAAGAGTAGTTGTACATGTAATAATAAATATAGATAAGATATTTTTGTGTTAAAAGGCTGACAAATGGCATATTAAAAAAACCTAAAAAAAAAATGCGGAGACCCCGGAGACGCTGGAAGGGCTGCTTGGGACCAATGACGGTAATACTCCCCCCATTGCATTTCACGTGGGGAATTATTCGTCCTCGGTCTTTGAAATAAAATCACATGCAACATTCTACTGTCTCTTCAGTAAATGATGATTCTGTCTCCGAGTTTCTCCCTCTACATCTTTTCTCATATGAAATATAAAAAGGAAGTGGATTAATCTGTATTTTCTCTTTTTTTTCTTTTTTTTTCTTCCAACTTTATCTTAAGTAAAAATCATTATGGCTGTCGATCACGAACAACAACTTTTCCAACAAGAAGTAGACAAAGTAAACCAATGGTGGTCTTCTCCTCGTTTCGCTAATGTCAAGCGTCCTTATACTGCCGAAGCCATTGTTTCCAAGCGTGGCTATTTCCCTATCAGCTACCGT